ACAACAGCCCCGGAGCGAAGTTCGCCTTGAGAATCGTTACCATAGTTCCGAAGCGTTATATTACTATTAATGATCTTACAAAGCCTGCGTATAATATATAACAATCTCACGCAGTTCGTACGATATTAATTTTTTAAACTCACGTTGCACATAATTTAACGCGGGTACCGAGAGAATTAATTCGAGGACCTAATATTTCGTCTGACGCGCGCGTTCCCGAAAGCATCGAAAACTGTTTTGCCGGTTCCACCGACGTCATCGGCAGGCCCTGAATTGATAATTAAATAATACTCATGCTGGATATCAAACGAAACTTTCGGTTTAATAAGAACTTCTTGGGCGCCCGCGCGCTACCACCGCTAGCACGTCGATTCTCCGAGTTATTTCAGCTTGAAAACTTGGCGCAGACGTGCCCTTAACTTTCCGCTTCGAAATAACTAATTCAATTAGTATATCAGCGCCGCTAGACCCGGGTTAACTACATCTTTGCAGGTGTATCTAATCTTCGCGCGAACGGCAACTTCGACATTGCTAATCTCCTCTCGAAACCCACTCCCGCGGAATCGACTGTTCGCTGCCCGATTCCTTTCCCTGTAATTCGAGCACACGCCCACGTTGAAGAGTAATCATAGTACTGTTTGTTTTACCGACTACTTCACGCGAGATTAATCGGGATCGTCCGTCGAATCGTCTGACGTGCCACTTTCACGAATCTTCGGCGGGTTTCGCATTGTGAAACTTCGTAACCAAGATGACGGCTCGGAATCTCATTATCCGTATATTGTCTCCGACTGGCGAAATTGGGGGAATATACTACACCGAAAGTTTTTGAAAAAATCCATAACGGAAACGCGTAGTATCGACGATCGAACAAAAATATGAAATATAATATTACAAGAATATAACAGAATCTGTGGATCAATCTATGCAAGAAAGATTTGTATTTGTGAAGAATGTACAATTTTACGTAATATAATAAACAATAGAATGTACAATTTTCATCCTTCCAGTGCAAATTTTATAACGAAATCGGTTTTTTTTTACTATTTTCTTTCCCCCAAAGGAACTATGTACTTATCTTTTACTTCTATTCCCAGAACAAACCTCCCCCTGTGAAATAATCCGGATTACCGTGGCAAACAATCAGAGGGTCCTGTAAACAAATTTCGACGCTTCAACGAATATTGCAAAAAGAAACAAGTTTCACCGATTGAAAGGTAGCAACTTTTCCGCGTGTTTACCAACTATTATACACCAGCATTCTACTTGTTGAATGTTTGCTGTGGAAGGAAACAACCTTGATTGAAACCTTCGAGCAGAACAAGAAGGGAATCCCACCTGAATTTCTAATCCGCGAGGAAAAAGTGGCTGCATTATCCGTATTTGACTTTTAAAAGGCTAAACTTTCATGTTCCGTGTCTCTCGTAGAAATAAAACTGTTACGTTGGTATAAGTTAGGTTAATAACAACACGTGACTGTATTTAATTTTTGTACCAAAATGTTATACTTTTATTCATAGTTGATGTATTGGATGGAAAAAGGGCACGCCAAAACCGTGAGATAATTTCAGTGTTTTCATTAATGGATTATTTAATAAAAAGTAAGGCAATAAAAAAGACCCAGTTTTCGAGATATAGTAGCAGGATGGAGGTCCTAAAATAATCTAGCAAAAATTAAAAAACGTAATGCATATTTTTATGTTGGTCTCTTATTTTAGGAACACTATAACTAAAAGTCTATTTTTCTGGATTCTTGGAAAATCTAACGAGTTGATTATCTTTTTAATAAAAACAGAAACGTTTGTTTCGTTGAAACGTGAGAAATTGAGTCAATTTTAAGTGTACTTGGTACTTTTGTTCTTTTGAATTTGATGTACAACAGAGAGCTAAATGACAGAGTGCGCCATTTCTCATCGACTGCTACAATGCACTCAAGAAGTTTGAACAATGAATCGAAAATACGAACAGAGATCCATCAAATTTTTGTTCAACAGATTATGCAATATTCAGGCGTTTCGATAGTTAACATAACCGTCTCACAGTGGTTCAGGAGGCGATATTCCGTAGTCAAAAGTAAAATGTCATTTATATTGATGTTTTTCAACAAAGACTTTTACTAATGGACTTTTAAAAAACAAAGTTATTAATGATAACAAATTTCAAATTATTTTATCATGATATAATATTTTTCCTACACTGTAAACAACTACGTAGCACAAAATATTCGGACATAGATGGCGGTAAAGTGTGTGTGTGTGTGTGGGGATCAGTGGATTTTTTAGTCGGTTAAAGTTCGACACAACTCCGAAATCTTCCCCTCCTACCACCATGGCGTTGGAGAATCTATTGAGGGTTTTTCTCACGTAAAAAAAAGGACTCCGATATGCTTGACTTGTTTCAAGTATTGCAATCAAGATTCCTGAAACGACATCGCTAACTATGACATTAGCATAGGACATTAGCAACACTACTAGCAATGCAAATTGAATCGCGCGCTAAAACCTCGCGGGTTTTCGATGTATTCGTTAACCACGTTAATCGAATGATTAACGTCGTTCTCCCCGCTAATTTGATCCGAAATCCTGTAACGTCGTTAATGCCGACTAATTACATACGTCGAACGGCGCAATGTTTTACAGCCGATGAAATACGCGAGATGTACTTTAAAGCGGCGATTCAGGCCGTGAAACGCGAATCGGAACGAATTCAACAGGAGACCGCCATGTTTCGACGAAAGTTCTAAAACATTTCGAGTACGAGGGACAATTAAAATGCGATAAAACATTTTATTACGTTGGCCGTTAATGATCGTAAACTGGTCGCGGCGGAGACAACGACGTTAACTGGAAAACATTTTATTTCCTGGCAAACTCGAATCAGGATAATTCCGTAGAAATTACCGCACCGCAGGCTGGAGCTGAGAGTATTCGATAATTCGTAGTCTAATAAACAACTGTAAGACTATATTAACCGTGAATTATAAATGGAAATAGAAGAAACAGAATTATACCGAATCCTACTGGAAAGGATTGATTTTTTCTTTGATGTAACTCCTCTACAAATGAACAAAAATTAGACAGAAAACTGTAACTATCCGAGGGATTATTACGAAAATATTGCGTTATATCGAAGCAGAGCGAAAGGGGTTGAGGTTTTGAGCAAATAAGACTAACTAATCGCAACCTAACCTAATTTCAATTGTTACCACGAAGAGAATTTACGGCGCGCGATGCGAAACTGAAGAAGTACCTGCGTGTCTCGTACACGTTGCGTCAGTGACGCTCACTACAGGTATCGAGGAACGTGTGTAGGTGTCTCCATCTTTGCATAACTCTGAAAGTAAATAACGCTCGGGACGGATGAAGGATTCGATCGACGCTCGCCGTACGCTCCGCACGAGATTCCTCTCGCGGTATAATCTTTGGGCGAGTTCGGAACGCCTGTGAACCGATTAACGAACCGCGTTGGAATGACGGTGAGCATCGCTGCCGGAGAAAATAGTGGCATCGCATGTTGGAGAGCGGATGTGTTTTCGTCGACGCGATGCTCGATCGCGTGCTGATCGAGCGGTATTTGTCGGACCGCTGTCAGACATCGTTCCACTCGTACGATCGGGTACAGACACGGTGATTGCAACCCGAATGCAACCACGCCGCGAGGAAACTTATCATTTCGAGGGACGAGTATTCTATAACTCTCTCGCACGCGCGATAGAATAATCGCGATTACACCGGCCCAGAAGAGAATTTACGACCGTCGGAGTTCATGCTGACTAGACTGATTTGTGACCTAGACTTTGACAACTTATTTTTGAAGATTCGTCACCTCGATACGGCACACGAAAGAACGTAATTTATTACGAAACAAAAAGAAAAACGACAAAGACGGATAACTAGACTCGGGGAGACTGTTGCGTGATGCGCACTTTCTTTGTCGAAACGTCGACTTTTATTTATTGCATGATAACGATCGCAAACGGTAGATTAGTTTTCCCGTATCGGTTTTTATTTCCAACTGTCCCGCAGCATAATTACGTGGGGTGGGAACCGTAGAGTAGGTAAATGTAAAAGCAAAATATGACTTCAGTTTTTACCGAAAGATTTTTCTTTGTCGCTGAACAAATCGTTTAGATTTGTAAGTAATATCATGAATGTTATATTCCTAGATAAATTTATTTACTATTTTCTAAATAACATCAAACAGGAATAAATGTGGTTACCAACACTAGAAATGTCAATCATAAAAAGATAGACGCGATTACTGCCACATATAATCATATGTAGATATGCATAAACAGAATTATAGTTTGGACAAACTTGTTCAAGAAAAATCTCACGTTTCATGACGCGAAATAAATAATTTAAAAGAAAAGGATATACTGCACTTACCGAAATATATCCCACCGATTCGAAAATCCTTCCTCCAACGCTATTAAAAGCTCCAAAGAAGTACGAGATCACGGTTTTCAACTTTCTAATAACGAAATAAGAGACTGTATGTAAAAATGAATAATTCTGATGTGACAATACATAAAACGTTTAATATCGATGTTATTTCCCACTATTTTGCAATACCAACAATTTGACTCATGAAAAAAAAGTTAGTCAAAAAACTTTGTTTCTTTGAAATACCACCGTACCCTTTATTTTGATCAAAATGTTTAGAAATATAGTGGTGTAAGTTATAGCTGTACGTATTTATAGCATCAGTATGTATATGAAATTTTTTATTCTTCGACCCGAAGTTACCTGAATGCAATTCGATCCGAGAACACGGGATGAACTATCCGGTTTCGATACCGCAAGACCGTTTCGCCGCTACCAATGGTACAAAAGAAACTGTTCTCCTTGAACAACTATCGATCTTCTATTTATCGCACAGTAACGATCACAAAACATTCTTCATCATAACAAATTCTTATATTGATCTTTATTTCAAACTGTTTCATAACAAAATATAATACTCTTAAATCCTTAGTTACCTAAACATAGATCCGTGAACACGGGACGAATTACGAGGTTTCGATATCACGAGCGCTTTGAAATGCTGAAACAAGGGCATTCAATTGTACCGTTTCGCTGCAACCGATAGCTACCCTTTTCTCAATTTCTGCCATTTTTATCACTAAATCGTTAAGAATCGAGTCCGGGAATTCAACTGAAATGGAATAATTGAATACGTCGCGTCGTTCTGTAAAATCTTATAATAAACGAGCTACTTACTTTTATTTACGAACAAATGGAGTTCTGTTAGTATATCTTGCAATGCAAGTCCTTTCTTCAGTTTTATATCTTGTATTTCTGTGTAACGGTATGTTAAGGAATATATAAAGAGTTTTGTATGTAAAAATAAGGTAATTAAATGTAATAATTTCGTATACATGACAAAAAGGATACTGCAATAACATAGTTCGTATGACTCGTTCAGTAACCAATTCGCAATATTCTTGATATCGATGGGACGAGGATGTCCAACGCAGGAATAAACGTTATCTTCCGTGACCTCGCCAAAAGCAAGTGACGTACTTTGAAGAACATTTAAAACTTTCCTCATATCTCCCCCGCTTAACGTTATTAACGCGTTCTTTCCATCTTCTGTGACGTTTAAACTTCAGCGTTCATGTTTACATATATATAAGTTTCATTAGCGTATTTAAGTATTTATGCAAAAATAATAAACTTACTTTTCTTCTTTAATAATGTCATCCAGTCTTGGCATTATTTGATTCGCAGACAATGGACCAAATCTAAATTTAGTGCATCGAGACTGAAGAGCAGGGATAATTTTACTGAGGTAGTTGCATATGATGCAAAACCGTACATTGTCTGTGTATTTCTCGATAACTGGAACACAGTCTATCAAAAGAATACATTCTTTACGTTTAAAATATCTCAATCAGCGATACATACTTCTTCTGAGAGCATTCTGAGCATCGTTTGTCATAGCATCAGCTTCGTCGAGGATGATTAATTTAAAACCAGATCTATACATAGTACCAGTACTTGCAAAACTGAGTATTTGTCCTCTGACAATACCAATACCTCTGTCATCCGAAGCATTCATTTCTAATACCTGTATATAAAAGAAACGTATAAATACGATACAAATTTCTATACTATTAGATTAGTAAAATGGAAGAAAAATGAGACCATCGAGTTGAATTGGCCTGACGAGTATAATTTACGGGCGCACGCAAGTATCGTACTTGTCTTCCCTGTTCCGGGAGGCCCGTAAAACAAGAGATGAGGAAGTTGGTTTTCGTCAATAAATCTATTTACTGTCACAAAAAAGTAATCGTTTATTAAATATTAAATGGCCTTAATCCTTCGTGGAACTAACAAATCAATGGAAAATACTAACCAGTTTTTATGATTTCCTCATGAGATATAAGATCATCCAATTTCTTTGGACGATACTTTTCAACCCTACAGCATTAAAGTCAAATCATTATTTCGTGTACATTTACGTATATTTATAACACAATAGCCAATGCAATATAATTCTCACCATGGTAAATTCTGGAACGTTCCAGGTGTTACTGTCATGTCTTACAACTCGAATATTTATCACAAACTTTAGTATAAATACGATAAAAGGTTAGAAACCGTGCGTCTTTTCGGCTATTTTAACCGGCAAAAATGACGTCAAAAGCGCGGTATTTTCCTTTCAAAATTTTCGAACCGAATGTAACGATTGGCAAACGTTTGTAACCAGTGTGGCCAGATCAGGCATAATTGAGTGCATCGAAATCGACAATAGTGACGACGAAGTTCCTTAGCGTCTAACGGAGTGGTGGGGATAGCAGGCATATGCTACCGCACGAGCCACGTGTATGTACGTGAGCTCGGCACTTCGTACAATTTTGGGAAAACGATAAAGAACGCGAATGTGAGCCTTTCCTTCTTGCTCTTGTAACAGCTGAAATATGACCTGGCGATAATCTGCATATGATTCCAAGTCTCGACTGCCTCAGCATTTTTACTTTCCGACCTACGTAAGGTATAAGGAAAGTACCATCACAGACGAGGTATGTGGTACCATAATGAAAAACAAATTTCGAAAATTTTTTTAGTGGAAATACACGTTTTAGGACCCCCTGATCATATTGTGACTATTAAAAAAAACAGAAATTTTTTTTTGTTCCTATACTATTACCATGATTGCGTCTAAACAACCGAATGAATTTCAATGAAACTTTACATTTAAGTTTTATGTTCTCGTTTCAAGGTTTGATTAGATTTTGAGCGTGATCAGCTCCCGGATAATGATGATTATACGTCTTATAGTTTTATAATTATTTCGATACATATACATTATTTGTAACAAATTTTTAAAACGATTTATATAAATCTGAAGAAAGAGCATGATCGAATAAACTTTTCTTCTATCTTTTCTAGAAAGGAAAAATTAAACAAAATCTTATACATTGCATAACTACCTAAACCCCATTAAAAACATATTCCACAAATATTTTAGAATAATGTTGTTCAAAGCACTCTCACTCGTAAAGGGTTAATTAAGAAATAAATGTTTAGAAATTGAAATAAGTAAAATCGATTAAAATGAAAAACCACTCTTAACCAGTACCGTGCATGCTGTAACAATCTTCAGTAACAAATATTTCCTAAAGATATGATCTAAATAGGAAAATTAATTGCAACAGAAATAGATTAATAATGGCTTTCCCCGCTATGATTTTCAATAACCGTATCAATTTGTTACACAGAACCAAATGTTATACAGGGTGTTCGGCCATCCCTGAGAAAAATTTTAATGGGAGATTCTAAAGGCCCAAATAAAACGAAAATCAAGAATATCAATTTCTTGACTGAGGCTTCGTTAAAAAGTTATTAAAACATTAAATTAAAAGATTTCAAATCATTTTGAAAAATTATTTTTGGTTGCAGGGGTCAATTATAATCATTTTTTGTAAATAGATATACCCCCAAAATCCTAACCATTTTCGAGAAAAAAATTCCTTACCGAAAATATAATTTCAGGCCATGCACCCCCGGAATTTCATGCGAATCTTTAAAATGTCATAACTTCTGAATGGATTGGAGGATTTTAATGTTTCAAACGGCAAACAACGCGTATTTTGACGAAGAATATGTACAAAATTCTAAAAATATTCGAAAAGTTGTTCCTTAACCCCGTAAACTCACAAAAACTCCATAAAACTGGTCCAATTTTCAAACGGCCATAACTCCTACAATAGTGAATAGATTTGATTGAAATTTTTTTTCTGAAGTAGAGGTCATGGGTACCTACAAAAAAGTATTAAACAAATTTTCTGTACAGCGCCAACCAAATTTATTACAAATAAAAAACGAATTTTTAAGAAAAATCGACAGGGTAGGGCTTAAATTTTTCGGCGAAAAAAAAAATTTTTAAATCTTTCTGGAAAAACTATTTTCGGTTGCAGGAGTCAATTACAATCATTTTTGGTGAATAGACATACCCCCCAAAATCCTACGCACTTTCGAGAAAAAAATTCGAGTAGGTCGAACAATTTTTCAACAAAATTAAAATATTTCAAATCATTCTGGAAAAATTTTTTTTAGTTGCAGAGGTCGATTACAATCATTTTTAATGAACAGATATACTCTCGAATTCCTACTCATTTTCGAGAAAAAAATTCAGAGAGGCCTAAATTTTTCGACGAAAAAAAATTTCTTTTTTTTAATAGTCACAATACGATCAGGAGGTCTTAAAACGTGTATTTTCACAAAAAAAAATTAAAAAATTTTTCTTTCATTATGATACCACAGACTGATGATACTTTCCTCACAGACGAGGTATACGAGTGACCTTTCACCACAGACGAGGTATACCTTGTCTATAGTAACACACACCACTTTTCCAGAGAGTTATTCGAATACATTCTCAAACGGCGGTTACTTTAAATAATTAAAATTAAATTGGTGAATTGAAGAACAGTAAAAATCCAAAAATGACTAACCTATGAAATATGTAGAAAAGTTTCAACAGTAAAGTAATTATAATTGGCCATTCTATATATTTTAAAACGTAGCAAAAAAAACTCTTATTTTATGGTTTCTATGGTTTCAACCCACGTTTCATTCTACGCATTTGAAATGAAAAATGAATAACAATTCTTAATTAGAATTAATTAATAGCAGGTACTAACATGCAAAGAAAAAGTAGATAATTCAAAAAATCGTAACGCTTTGTAGTTTAATTATCGATAGTTTAATGTTTCTTATCATTTTTGTGTTATTTCGATATACAATTGCTTATCGTTATGCAAATAAAGTTGGTTAAAAGATCTGAACAAGTCATCGATTAAAATGAAAACTTGATAACAAAAAAAAGATAGGTCCAGGTACCGTTAAATAAAAATTAAAACGAAAGATCCGAATACTATACCGAAACTCAAGTAGTAACATTCAAAGGAACATCAAGAATATCATGAGTAATTCAGAAATATGGCACAGAACCCCCGATTACATGCTGCTCTCCAAATTGCGGTTCAAGCTAACCCTACCGGAACTACGAAGCGACGAAAATTTAAGAAACGAATTCCTCGACGTAGTAACGAGCAAAAACATGTCCAAATATTACGAAGACGCGTGTAAAACGTTCGACTGGAACATGGACGAAAATCTGCTCGAGACAATGATGCACGCGAACGAGGTTAAGTTGCAAGAATTAGAGTCTTCCGACAATACGACTCTCGAGGATGTTGCAAATGCAAAATGGCGGGAAAAGGTAGAATTGTTTTGCGAGATCGGTGACCTCGATCGTGCCACAGATGTCGCGAGCATGATCTTCGAAGACGAGAGCAACTCGTCGAGCGTTAGGGTCGAGGCTGCTTTCGGTTTATTTAGAATAGCGTATCTCGGATACAATTTTCGCTCGATGGGAAAAATAATCGGCGACATAACGAACCTGATGGAAGTAACGTGCGTATCGAGCAGTGATTGGTGTTGCCGGAATAAATTAAAAGTATACGAAACCGTCTACTGTCTCGCAACACGAAACTTCGCACGCGCCACGTTGCTTTTATTAGATTGTATACCCACCTTCGAGTCTTACGAATTGCTAACCTTCAAAGAAGTCGTCGAATACACTATATTATCCGGAATGATCTCTTCATCTCGATCGGATCTCGATCGTCGATTCAACAATAACGGTCTCCTGCAACAGGCTCTCATCATGGAGTCCCCCAAATACAAAGAATATTTTTATTCCCTTTACGATTGCCGTTACAAAGAGTTCTTTAAGAATCTTGCATGGGTCGAGTCGGAGCTCAAGATCAATCCTTTGCTGCATTGTCATTATCGTTATTATGTAAGGGAGATGCGATTAAGAGCGTACTCGCAGCTATTGCAAGCGTATAGGACCATTAACTTTAGCAGAATGGCGACAGAATTCGGTGTTACAGAGGAATACATAGAACAGGAGGTGGCACGGTTTATTGCGAACGGCAGATTGCATTGCAAAATCGATAAAGTGGCTGGAACGATCATTACCGTCAGTGCTGTAGGATGCGACAGGAGCCAAGCACCCGATGCTACTTGCGGTCGCGGAATGATTTATCAAAATACAATTAAAAAAGGCGACGGGTTGCTTAATCGACTGAAAAAACTCGGTCAAATTATCGATTTTTGAACACAGTTTCAAACACCGTAAAAACTATTCCCGGACTTCGCATTTCCTAATCCTTTCACGGTATGATTTCATTACAATTTTTCAAATATATAGCATTTAATTTGTTCGCACACTTGTCATTTATTGGTGAAGTATTAACACGTTGACTGGCATACCAATACAGTAAAATTGACGATAGAAATAATAGTAAATTGATTTTAAATCTTCGATTGAAGTATCAAGTCCTGCATATTATACACGTGCTCCTATTGTTCTTGGACTAATACAACAATGGCGTTGCAAATACCGTAAAGCATTGACAATGTTTAACGGAATAAATACTATTTATGGAACGGAGTAATTGCATTTTAGTCTACTGATCAAAGTTATAGTTTAAAGACACAGTATCAGAAGTTTGTTGTCACCTTCGAAAATTTTCGGCGAATAATACTATAACATAACCTTAATTACGTACAATTTTTGGAATTAAAGTGAGTACATACAAGATCTGGAACGTCCTTCAATGAACTATGGCTCATCGAATTTTTAGAAAATATCCTAGGTCTATTTATAAGGGATCTAAAGAAGTCAAGCGAAATTTCGATTACTTGCTTGTACTTGATTTTGAAGCTACATGTAAACAGTTTGAGAAATTGATACCCCAGGAAATCATCGAATTTCCTTGTGCGGCCGTGTCTACGAAAAGCTGGCAAATAGAGAACATGTTCCACGAATATATCAAACCAAAAGTTCATCCAGTACTAACACCATTTTGCACAGAACTCACAGGAATCATACAAGACATGGTGGATGATCAGCCTCATTTTCCAGAAGTGTTTGACAAATTTTGCAGTTGGTTGGATGAAAATAATTTTTTCAAGGATAACGAGTGCGCTTTCGTTACATGCGGTGATTGGGACTTAAGAGTGATGCTTCCACAGGAGTGTAAATTGTCGAACATAACGCTACCGGTATATTTTAAAAAGTGGATAAACTTGAAAGACAGTTTTTGCGACGCAACGCAATATTACCCCCGAAGTATGACTGATATGTTGACCCATCTCAAACTTTGTCACGAAGGGAAATTACATTCTGGTTTGGACGATGTAAAAAATATGGTCAGAATAATACAAATTCTTAGTAAAGATCACGATGCACAGTTCAAAATAAATTCTGCCCCCGAAGTGTTGAAACAATATTTAAATAATACATTTGGAGTGTAATTAATTAAATTGATTTATTAATAATAAAAAATTGCTCGTATAAAAATGTAAAACTACAGCGTATTCTTAACGATACATATTTACGTAAAATTATTAATTCTAACATTCTAATTTATGGTCGTTTAACGTTTACTTTTATCTGTACATCTAGCTTGTTATTTTCTGTAAAAATTTCAAGTACTGCATTAATACTGCGTTCCATCCTCGCTTTGCATTGAATTTTTAATTGGAAATCTCTTCTCGTGGGTATCATGCCCTCCGTAGGAACGACGCTCAAATATTCTGTATTTGACAAACAAGTTTCAAATGGCTCTGCCACGGTAGAAGAACTTCTGATCGTCACGATTGCTTCTGTTCTAATCGGTGGAGTTAAAATTATGGTGGACGGACTGGCCGTAACATTGCTAGTATTAGTGTACATACAATTTCCTACGAACGTTCTGAAAATGTTGTAAATGAAAGTAAACATTCATGAAATTTTTCAACCATTGAAAAATTTTCGAGACTTACTCGGAGGGTAAATAACTTTCGCCGTGTCCTTCGTATACATGACTATTATCGCTACAAAGAGAGTAAAACATTTGCGATTCGTCTGCGTTGTCCTGGAGGACAGACAACGTTTCGTCAGCACACACTTCCATCGTCAACAATATCTCATGTTGACGTATTCCTCGGCAAAGGTCTCCAAGGTTTTGCTTTAGAATGTATAAACTAATTTATAATACAACCATAAATTAGTTAATAATTGTTACAATTTAATTGGTAAATTTGCAGTCGTTTACCACTGAATCACGAATAACATTTATGTCCGGCATTAACTGTTCCCCAGGGAAAGCTTTGCATATTGGGTGAAGTATGTTTCTAAATGCTTCGTTTTCGTTTCCGTTTAGTTCACCGGTTTCCTTCATTTTGTTGTACAATCTGAAGGTTCAATTTTCAATTAGTATAATCTTCATTACAAAAGTGATGCAAGTCCGTTTTTATTACACGAGTCTTGAAGATATCTAAGAACTACTGGTAAAAAAAATAGATTTACAGTATCCGAGATCGACCAAATTAATTTAGAGGAGAATAGCAGAAACGAGAACTCTGATGCTCAAAATTTAATAAGAAACTTACACCACTTTTATAATAAATGGTTAAATTAGTGATTGCTTTTAAATTCGATAACCGTTCACCTACGAATTCGCCAACGCGAAGGTTCGTCTCCGTGAGTGATTATTACTGTTCCTACGTGAGATACATCCGAGCGTTGTAAGAGTGCTAAATCTTCTTTACGCGGTTGAAATTTCAAAGTCACCCATTGAATTTCTTTCGGATTCAACAATAACTCGGTTGGATTCACTTGCCAACTCGAAACCATAGTAGGATACACGGCTGAAATTATTCAGAAACAAAAGGTAGTGATCACTAGAAAGTGATACACATTTATTTAACACATTCATTTGTTTAAAGAAAAACCTTTTGGCGTTAATTTTATTTTAACGTATGAACACAGATCCCCCGTGTTTTGTAATTTGATCTTCGAGTTCAAAGAACCTCCGGAATTTAAAGTACCGAGCGATAACCACATTTTTCCGCTTGTGTCCTTGAATGCCTCAAAAAATTCGACCCTGCTATAACCACCATAACCGTATAAAAACAACTGAAAACGACAGGGGTTAAATTCAATATAAGATTATTGCGATAGAAAACGAATAAACGAGAGAATAGATTTGATCGTTTACCGCTTTTGTCGGTCGAGATTCGTTATCTTCCCTCCTAGGTTCATAGTGTCTAAATACTATTTTGCCGGTAGCTGCGCTCAGATGATGGGGACTAAACACGACAGACAGCGTTCTGCTCTCTGAACCTTGTAAAATTAATACAATGGTCGTGCCAACGGCTTGTCGTTCGCGAAGGAACTAAAAGAATGTTTAATGTCTGAAAACTCGTCGATTAAAATTAACCGGTTTTGCAATTATTCGTAGAAATTACCCGAAAATTCTTATCGTTGTCCGATATAACGGCTTGAATCTTAATTTTGTTGTTGCTTGTGTTGCGAATGGTAAATTCCTTAATATCCGATTTGCCAGTCTTCACGCTGTTCCATACCAGGGCAGCGTGAGTGGTTCTTATGGGAATTTTATCACCGGCAACAGTCGAACCCGACACCGAACTAAGAGGCGAATTTCTCCCGGATATTCCAGATCTATTGTATCCAATATGGGACAATTGAAACTTGACGAAACTTCGATCAACAACCAAATGAACTTACTTATTTGAAGTCACGCTATTCGGGGACGATGGAGAACTAACGGACGATAAGTATTGAGGCGTTTCGCAACGAGGAAAATTCTCAGCCTCCGGTTCCGTGCAAGCGTTCGATTCTCCGATTAAAGAATAATGATATACATTACTGGCAGCCAATAACTTGATCTTCGCGTGCCTACAAGTATACTAATATAATACGAACAAGTTTGCCAGGAATTATTAGAGAGTTGCGTACTCACATTTTTGAAACATTCAAATTTTGTTGTTTGTACGTAATAAAGAAACAGCCAGTTTCATTAGGTCGCAGGCATATATTTTCGGGCTGAACTGAAAAACATTTCGTGGCTTTCTCGATCTCAGTGTCTTGTGTAAACGTAGCGGATATTGTCACCGACATATTGCCGGCGTTGATCACAGTCAACGGTTTAGTTTGCTTGTTGGGAAGGATCAATGGTAAATCTGTATCGATTACTTGTATCTTACAAATTCCTACTTGCACAACAAGAGGAATTTCCTTGATCATTATGGTATCGTCAGGACCGTTTTCCACCTGAATTATTAAATTGCCTTCGTAACGTTGTAAAAATCGTTGAGCTTTTGTGTTCTTTGGCAAGATACCTTTACACTGTATATTCATGGTTAACGTGTCTTGAGGTTTAATGATCACGCGTTGCAATTCGTCGGAATTTTCCAGACTGAATACTAACGGTTCATCCTACATTGAACAAAGTAATAATAGAAAAAGGATAACTATTTAAACTAGGTATACTCATTTGTATAATTTTATCACCTGTAATATAGCGAGTTTAATAGAAACATTGATGCTGTTTTTATTGTTGATTGTAATGGGTAGAACAGCCGTACTATTTTCAACGATAGATTGAAAATCGTATTCTCTTTTTTGAGAAGGGTTCAAGATGTTTATATTGAGCTCCTCGGGCTTGAAACAAATTATGTGTTTCATAACCCATTCGGATCTGGTTACCATGTCCGATACTGTTATGTTTATAACTGCTATAATTGGTTTACTCATTTTCACTACCGTTACGGCGATCTAAAACGGATATACTTTGGCTATTTTGTTACTATAAAATTTATAGTTTTTTATCTTTACCTTGGCGTGTTGTTCCGCGTCCGGTTTAATAAGAATGACGTCTTTTGGTAACGTGAGTTTAACATATTTCTTGTCCCCTTGAATTTGATTTACGCTCAACGAACATATTAACCATCTATCACTTTTGTTTAAAAGTTCAATGTCAGTCTCCCTTGACATACCAACGATACAATTGCACAGTTCCTCTGTACTTTTACCTATCACAACATCTACAAAATGTAAACAATTACTATCGACGAAACGGTAAAATGTATGAAAAACTCTAATTATTATATTATTGTAAAAGCATACTATTTAATTGAGATTCAGATCGTTGTAAATTCGAAATGTCTTGTATAAAAGTTTCGGATTTGTCTTTATAAGAAACATTTTCTTCTTTTTTAATATCGTTCTTTCCTACTTCTTCATTTTTTGAATTAACAGACTTATTCTCTCGATTATGTTCGACATTAATTATTGAAGTGTGAGGTGAAAGTTTTTTGTCATTATTATAATGCAAATGAGATAAATTAGAATCTTCCAATAACGACTTAAAATCTAAAAATAATGATCATTCTTAAGCCAATTCAAGCAAACATCGTTTTAAACGTATACGACGTTATTTAATTAAAGCTTGCTAATTTTTATATAGCAAAATTATACCTTGATTAAATGTACTCGTTAAGTTCCCGCTACACATTTCCTTTTTAAATTCTGTAGGAACCGAATGTTTAACCGCCATTATTTCATTCGCAGTCTTGCTATCTAGAGACAGTTTTGATGGAAGATTTAACAACTCCATATCTTTCTCAAAATGATCAATTTTTGTATTGGGAGTGGCGGGCATAGATTTTCGTTTTGAGGGCGAAAACGTGTAAGTATCTCTAGATTTATCCACATCTTGTATCTGGATTGGCTTTTTCTTTTTCTTTGCCATTATAAGTTGATCCACTAATTTTCGCGGTGTATTGATATCGATATCTTGTAACGCTTGAGCGATGCAAGTTAAACTCATAATGCTCTGTTCTTCTATATCTTTTGTTACGTTTGATTTATTCGATCGAGCACTATCCTTTGCAATAAATGATCCAGCCGAAGACCCTGTAATTAATAGAACGGTTGGATTGCGGCACACCGTCGGGCCACTTTGCTTTGTATACCTACATTTAGCCACGCGTAATACACGTAATTCTCATTATTTTCAATCAAACAAAATAATGTATGTACATAAAATGGTAACGAATACGTGTTCTAAAAATTACATAAGAAAGTTTTACGGTTCTTTTAGAAAAAATTCTCAAATAATAATTTCCGGCCATTTAAACCAGAGTACCCCCTTAAACAAACGATCATTAATAGTACCTTCTGTTATTATGGTGTTATCAACCAATGGTATAAGTTGACCCGTTCTTTTAGGACTATTTACAGATAGTCCTAAACTCGGTCTTTCAACCCCATCGTGCGATAATTCTCCGAATGCTCCACATTTACGCTTAAAATATTCGTCCACTGATACTTTGCGCCCAGCACGAGATCTGAAATTCAATCGTACAATGAGCGTAAGATAAAGCCTAAATGATTTCAGAAACTCACTCTACTGATAAATCCAGTTCACCGATGATACCCGAGAAACACGATAAATTTAAATATTCCTTTTCGGTGGTCGGAAGAGCGTAAGAGTAATTCTGCTGCCAGGATAGATCGTCGGCTAACAATTGACTAGCCATCCCAGAAGCAGAATGAAACTCTTCGTTGTTGAATTGAGCCATTAATTCGGCAGTAGTCGAATCAAATGTAATCGCATTTACATTTTTATCCGATAACGATGACAACTGTTTCTCTGAACTCCTACTCAACCCAGACGAACGAGCACTTATCTCGTTGGGAACAAAAGCGATCTGAAAAGAAAATTCTATAAAATATACTTTCAAACGAGGATACACGTTCCTTTTTCGTAATAATACTTACGCTGCTTGCTTTACTATTTGCAGAATGCGATGTATTTTCATTCTGGAAATTCACTTTGTTAGAGCATACTGACTTACCCGGATCAATAGCGATCGATGACAATACATTGTCAGACATGTTTTGAATGTTTGCATTGTTTTCTTTGTTTGTCTCTGAAAGAATTATAAACTATAAACACAACCTTTGAACAGATTTAGAAATATAATTGCTAAAAGAAAATCTTACCATACATAGGAGATGTCTTCTTTAAGTCACTGCATCTCTGAAGTAGTTTCCTGGCAAGTTCACGTTCTGCTTCTAACTTATTTTCGCTTTGTCTCTCCATATCGTCCATATTACTCACTTCAGCTAAAACTAGAAACATATATTGAGAAGTATTGTATTGATACAGTTTGGTGAAAAAAGAAAGAACATATATTACTCACAGAAAGATATATTATTGAGTATACCCAGAGACGAATCATCGGGTTTTTGTACTACATCATCCTTCTGTATCTCAGACTGTTTATATGTAATTTCATTATTGCAATTCTCAAGATACTTGCTTTCCAATCTGGAAAAAAGGTTTCAAAGTCCGTTATGTATATAAATTAGATAATTACAGAAATACAACTAATTATAAATAAAATAAATGTAATCGTAGGGAATCGAAAATATCTCACGTTGATACTTAAGAGTTAAATATTAGGAACTTTAAGTATATTTTAATCTAAAAAAAAAATGCTGTCGAAACACCACGAAATTAAGTTGAACGAATTTCGTTTTCGCGTGCAACGATTTTGATAGACCACCGTACGAAAAAAAGAGCTTACGTGTTTTTCCTTTGAACGGTCGAAGTTGCTTGCGGTTGCGGAGTGTTTAACAAAGTTAAGTCCAGGAAATTCGCCCCTGTGGGCTTCGACGGTGTAAACATCGTTGAACGATTCGTTTGTCGTATGATTCTGAGGCGCAAAAATCGCTCAAAGGAACGTTGCGGACGAACAGAGAACTCTAAGCGATTTTTTAATCGCTAAATCAATCCAACAATGGAAGGATTGTACCATATTACACTTAACGTATTGTTTGACAGTTGATCAATTTTAGCGTTCAAATTTGAAAATGTTTCGAGATTGCACGATCATAGAATACAAACTCGTACGGTGTCAGATCGACGACTCTTGTATGGTAAACGTAATGGAAACTGCCATCTGAACTAAATAGCATAAAAGCAATCGCCATGTGCACAGAACAATGGCACTTGTAGTAACATTGCTTCTGTGGTGCTACCGTGCCACGAGAAGAAATGCGTAAACGGGCAGATGATGATCAATTGTAATAGTGACGTTTCAAAAATCGTCATACATAACTAAAGATCGATGACACAGAATAATTATATTATTCGACGAACTGTGATTAATTTTTTGTCTCGCTAGTAGGTTATGTTTTCCTTATGTTATTGTATCCACACTTGTAAAAACCGAATTAAATATTAGAACGTATTGACAATATGATGATAGAAGAAACAACGACAATGTCAGAACGAACACGTTTAACGTACGAGAATAAAGTTATATTGGCGCCTATGGTGCGCATCTGCACACTTCCTATGCGCCTTCTTGCACTTGATTATGGTGCAGATATTGTATATACAGAGGAATTAATAGACTGGAAATTACTGCGATCGTTTCGACGCGTTAATGGTAAGACACTATCAATAGTATAAGGTTGCAAAAAAAAAAATGAAAAATTTATTTAAATAAACTTATTTTTAGATGTTCTGAAAACAATTGACTATATAGACAAAACAGATTGTACGGTAACTTTTCGGACCTGTAGTAGAGAGCAAGATAAAGTAGTTTTACAAATTGGCTCTTGCAGTGCAACAAGAGCTTTACAAGTTGCCAAAATGGTAGAGCAAGACGTTGCTGGAATAGATCTCAATATGGGATGTCCAAAACTGTTTTCTATAGTAGGGAAAATGGGAGCCGCTCTTCTACAGACTCCAGAGGTGGCAACGAATATTCTGAAGACATTAGTTGATAATTTGAGCATTCCAGTAACGTGTAAAATTCGTGTGTTACCGGACCTAGACAAAACTTTAGAACTTTGTGAACTTCTGGCGTCGACTGGTATATCGGCTATAGCAGTTCACGGTCGGACTGTTCATGAAAAACCACAGCACGCAAATCGCAATGAAATTCTAAAGAAAATTTCGGAGAAACTTTCAATACCAGTCATAGCGAACGGCGGCTCGAACGATATACAGAAATATTCCGACATTTTTAAGTAATACTGCGCTTACTTTCCTTGCAGATTATTAGTAACGTAATTTATATGTTGCTATTTATACAGTTTAAAAGTAATTATAGTTGTTTGCAGATTTAAAGAAGTAACTGGATGTAGCAGCGTGATGCTCGCTCGTGCTGCCCAGTGGAATTGTTCGATATTTCGTAAAGAAGGTTTAGTTCCCATGGAAGATGTAATCAAAGCATATGTTAAATACGCTGTAGATTGCGACAATCCACCTTCCAATACCAAATACTGTATACAAAATATCCTTCGTGAACAACAGGAGTCAGCTTTAGGCAAAAAATTCCTTAATTCTCAAACTCTGGAACAGATATGGTAAGAATTAAAGAGTTTGAGCGACTTCTGGAAATGTAAATTTATCGGGAAATTGCTCAAATTAGGTGGGTCATCTTGCACATTACATTTATGTTATTGTAGCGACGTATGGGAATTAAGCGATTATTGTCGTACGAAGAGAATGGAATTTAAAGAAAAAGGTTTGCTAGGCAGATCTCAAGTTTTTCCAATGAGAAACGAGGATAAACAGGACGAGGATCAGTCGTCTGGTAAAAGAAAACTATCGGACGATGAAGATGTAGTTCTGATGCACTGTGCATTCTTAAGAAATAATTATGCGACAGATCTTGAATTACCGAAAACCGTATTATTTAAATGGGCGCAAACGCACAGAAAGAAAATGCCGCACTACGATACGCATAGAAAAGAAAAACTTTTCCGTTCCGTTGTTACTGTCGATGGAAGAAAATTTGGATCATCCTTCTGGTAAATAGATGACATATAGTATTATATAGATGCAAATACACGTAATTTTTTAAATAATATAGAATTCGATTTCTGGACTATTTTTAGGGAAAAGAATAAAAAAGGGGCAGAACAAGGTGCTGCGTTAGTTTGCCTCTTTTCTTTGAGTCTAGTCAGCGAGAAAGCTCTTATTGCGAGTGGCAGTATACTTTCCTGATGTCGAACAATTGGAAAATAGGAAAGATTTATCATGTATCAAGAAAGCCCAACATACTTTCAAGGATATTTTCCGCCAACAAACGAAATATGTTCTTCATTTTTTTAATCGGTTCTATTGTCAATAAAAGGATTTTTCTGTTACACATTTGCGTAATATTTTCAATTTATGTTTATTAGGACTTTATTCCTCTTTTTGGCGAGCACTATCTGCCCTGGAAGTCCTGAACTCTTCTTTTTTTCAGCTTGCATAATAAACGGCCTACGGGGGCACTTTTTGCACCCCCACCAGGAACGGCCCTGTAAAATAGTACTAAAAAGGCTCATTTACCCATACTTTTATCGAATAAAATTCACTCAAATTTCTTAATTGAGATACTATTAGAAAATCAAATTAATATTAAAAAATCAAAATGAAAATCTTTACGAATTTGTTGAATAATGTCTTTTTGATTCTCTCGTTACTTTTGTCCACTATCGTCCAATAACGAAGCTGAAGATCCGAATCAGATTATCAAACTATCTGATTACATTCGTTCCAATCTGTCAATTTAAGATTGAGCAGTGCCGAGCACAGAGTTACTATTGCTAAGTTCAGTTGAAGTTATAACTGCAATTAACGTAAATTAATAATTTTATTTCAACAACAATATAAAGTACATTACTGACTATTAATGAACAATGGGTCCGCCGAAACGTTTCAAAAAAGACAACGGTACGAAATTAAAGCTGGGCAAAATGTAATCTCTACGAAACTAGCTTTTTCCTTTTATAAAAGATTCTGTAACGTCTCCTGTAAATAAATATTGGCAGTTGAACAAAAGGTTATCTGGTATCTGTCTGTTTTTGCAGATAGAGGTAAATGGAAAAAGCGTAAAGAAGATCCTGAAGAGTATAATGACGACGAGTCTTTGGACGATAACGAAGCTGAAGGTATACCGGACGCAGCCAAAAATGATGTCGAAAAGCAAGATGAAACAGCATTAGAAGACGAGTTTGGCGCGAAAGATTATCGTTCGCAAATGATTCTAAAGCCAGATTGCATTTCGAGGCCACTTTGGGTGGTAGGATATTAATCTTAAATACCATCTTTTAACCTTCTCTTTGAAAGATCAATATTAGATTATTACTTAAATAAAGATCATTTGTTTAGGCACCAAATGGACATATTTTTCTAGAGTCTTTCTCGCCTGTTTATAAACATGCCCATGACTTTTTGATCGCTATCTCAGAACCTGTGTGTCGTCCGGAACATATACACGAGGTAAAATTACCTAATTTTAAAATTATGGTTTAGTAAAATTTGCAAAGAACATTAATAATATGTTTTTGCTTCACAGTATAAATTAACCGCTTATTCCTTGTATGCTGCTGTTAGCGTTGGTCTTCAAACGCATGATATTGTAGAATATTTAAAAAGACTCAGTAAGACCAGCATCCCTGATGGAATTATAGAGTTTATAAAATTGTGTACACTGTCGTATGGCAAGGTAAACACGTTAATTACAAATCATAAATATTTGTAAAATGCAGTACCTTAAATAATATCTAAACATTTTATTTTTATCGCAGGTAAAACTAGTGTTAAAACACAACAAATATTTTGTTGAATCTCCCTACCCCGATGTATTACAAAAGTTATTAAAAGATTCAGTAATTCAAGAATGCAGACTGAGAAAGAATGTAGAAGACGAGAAAGAGGAAATAATTACAAATATTCAAAGCAAAACAAAACTTCCGCAGGTAGTAATATATCCGCGCAGCGATTTTTCGACAAAACGCAATATCGATTGATTTCTCTTGCAGTTTGGAGTAAAACCAACGACCACTGTTCCAGCTGTAACCCCCAAAACGACCGAAGTACCAAGTGAACAAGCTCCGCCGGAAACAGTTACCGTTCCTGAAGATATAACCACGTTTTACGATAAAATGGACAAAGAAGACGAAGATGAAGAAGAAGAACAAGAATTAAAAACCGTTAGTTTTGAAGTGAATCAGGTATATAACTTCTGTTTCGATTCGTGAAGTACGTGCATAATCATTCTCGAGTATAACAAAATTTTACCGCAGGAAAAAATAGAAGTCATACAAAAGAGATGTATAGAGCTGGAGCATCCCTTATTAGCAGAATACGATTTCCGTAACGACACCGTAAATCCAGACATAAAGTAAGTATAATTATTCGAATTATCTAAGTATATATTATGTAAGTAAAAAGGAATTTGTGAAAAATAAACGTGTTGAACAATTAGTATAGATTTAAAACCATCGGCTGTATTGAGGCCCTATCAGGAAAAGAGTTTGAGGAAAATGTTTGGAAATGGACGTGCTAGATCCGGCGTTATAGTTTTACCTTGTGGTAAGTTGCGTAACGTCATCATCGTTATCATTGCCAATTAGAGAAATGGATGTATTCGATCGGAAACATCCTAATTTTTCTACTAATAGGTGCCGGTAAAAGTTTAGTCGGAGTAACGGCTTGTTGTACGGTACGAAAACGTGCATTAGTATTGTGTAATTCCGGAGTATCGGTGGAACAATGGAAACAACAATTTAAGATGTGGTCGACCGCAGACGATTCGATGATCTGTCGATTTACAAGCGAAGCCAAAGACAAACCTATGGGATGTGGAATTTTAGTTACCACGTATTCAATGATTACTCATACTCAGAAACGTTCTTGGGAGGCAGAGCAAACTATGCGATGGCTTCAGGAACAAGAATGGGGAATCATGGTCTTAGATGGTAATCTATTTCAATTGGATTGTCATTTAATCGAATCGGTTAACGCGTTCATTTTTAGAGGTGCACACAATTCCTGCAAAAATGTTCAGAAGGGTTTTAACGATCGTTCAATCTCACTGTAAATTGGGTTTGACCGCGACGTTGTTGCGAGAGGACGATAAAATTGCTGATCTGAACTTTTTGATCGGACCTAAATTGTACGAGGCCAACTGGTTGGAATTGCAGAAGAGAGGCTTTATTGCGAGAGTTCAGTGTGCTGAAGTTTGGTGTCCTATGACGCCAGAATTTTACAGAGAATATCTTGGTTGCAAAATGAGTAAAAAGCTGTTACTCTATGTGATGAATCCTAATAAATTTCGATGTTGTCAATACTTAATACGATACCACGAAAGACGCGGTGACAAGACCATCGTTTTCTCCGATAATGTTTTTGCTTTGAAACATTATGCCATTAAAATGAATAAACCGTATATCTACGGTCCAACTAGTCAAGTAAGTATCGATATATTACTAATATATAAATAAATACACTGTCAACTTAAAAATACATGATATCGTTTTAATGTTAATTTCAGAGCGAACGAATACAAATTTTACAAAACTTTAAATTCAATACCAAAGTAAATACGATATTCGTGAGTAAAGTGGCAGATACGTCTTTCGATTTACCGGAAGCCAATGTTTTGATTCAAATATCCTCGCATGGCGGTTCACGGCGACAGGAAGCACAACGATTAGGACGAATTCTAAGAGCTAAAAAAGGTAAAAACCAGTATGCGTTAAGCGGGACATTCTCGTGTCTCGAACGTTGCAATTTTAATATTTTTTCTTACAGGTGCTATCGCGGAAGAGTACAATGCATTCTTCTATACCTTGGTATCGCAAGACACAATGGAAATGAACTACTCGAGGAAACGTCAACGGTTTCTCGTGAACCAAGGCTACGCGTATAAAGTTATTACAAAGCTTGCTGGAATGGACGAGGTATATATTATTTTGGAATTTGACAAACTTGCTGTAAGAACGATTCAAATCCTATTTGCTTAATTTTTGATACAGGAGCCAGACTTGATGTACGCAACTCGAGAGGAGCAGGGTCATTTGTTGCAACAAGTTTTGTCTGCTAGTGATATGGACGCAGACGAAGAAAGAATACCTGGAGAAGGACCGAGACCGGTAACATACATCGTATCGACGGAATATTATTCGAAAGAATGCGTTTTAAATTTTATTTAAACGATTGTTCCAGATTCTACGGAAAGCTGGTAACATGACGTCGATGTCTGGTGCAGATGACGCAGTTTACTACGAGTACAAGAAAGCTCCTGGTTCATCCACAGCGAATAAACATCCTTTGTTTAAAAAGTTCCGAACATAATTACCTTCGATCGTATATGTATATAAATATATTTTACATTTATTATTATTTATGTGATTGATTAAAGAGTAACTTTCGTACGTGTGGATTTTGTATGTTTGATAAAAAAGGATAAATTGGTCGATCGAAATTCTAATTCCATACCGTTCCCTTGGTATTGTCATGGACAAAGTTGTTTTTAGAACATGTTTTCCGAAAGCGACAATCAATAATCACACCGTCTATATCTCAAGCACTTCATGCCTGTTAGTTCTCGGTAAACTTGATACGCTTGCTCGTACGATTTACGTGGCAGTAATGCAATTTACGCAAATGTAAACCCGATGGTCGGTTGACTCAAGTAATGCGATAAAGACATTTCCAATAAATTTGTTGGCTCGAAGCGATAACATTTTGCTTGTACGTATGTATGTACTCGTAATATGGTAGGTATTATAGTAATCGTAGGTAGCTTTTCGTAGACGATACGAATAAATATTTACGTTAAAAATATTAGTTGAAAAATATGTACCGAAGAATAAATAAACAAATAAGAAATAATGTTAACCCGTTAATTTATTTGACGCGTCGATTGAACGGCAACATGAAACGATTGGTTCGATCAATATTTAATTCTAATTTCGTAAGTCGAGCAAGTGTAAACGACGGTGAACAGATAACAATTTGAGATAATGAAAAGCCCAGTATCTTGTTGGACAAAGACACGCCTTTCCGGCTGATTAAGAGTATCGAACCCGCGGCACGGCGCGAATACATCCCCATTTTTCATAAAAGTAACGGGTTACGCGCGCGAGGTGTCAGTTGGCTGTGGCAGCCGATGACGCGTTCGCTCTGAATCTAGGTGTAAATTGGCCGTACGAGCTGCCGGTTGTCACATGCAGCCAGTTGTCCCGTTGACGGATAGCGGTGCGTCGTAGTGTGTGTATCCGAGGCATGTTCGGTTGTTCGTACGCTGTTTATTCGACCCTCACCTCACAATTGTCTTTATCCGCGAGCGTCGCGTTCGTTCGTTCATTCGACGAAAGTTCAACCTTCGAATATGACATGCATCGGCACGCGACGCCAGTGCCGTAGCCACGGGCGAACCAGAACGAGACAAGTCCGCGAAGGCGCATCGTCGTCGTGAAAGAGAAACGGTCGGTCGAAGTTGTCCGTGAACGCGGCACATAACCGTGCAGTAACATCGGCGGCAGAACGTGTTCGTGACCTGGTGTCCGGGCATCGAACGCGAAAGACCCGCGAATGCGTCACGAGCGACGGACCCGAGAGGAAATATCCATCCCGGGGAAGAGAAGAAGACGACGGTGTACGTCGGGCATTGTTCGAGAACCGCCGAGGGAAGAACGACAGCAAGTAAACGAGGTTCGGCGCGTCGTCGAGAGGGGTAAAGTTCAATGCATCGGTGAAAATTGGGGAGCATTGTTCGGTGGCTGCGTCGCGTCAAAGAGGGTGCTTCGGTTGTGTATATGTCAGTGATCGGTGAATGCAAGCGATCCTTGTCCGTTACGGATAAAAGTGAAAGAAGTCGTGCAAGAGGGAAAGAGAGAGAGAGAGGACGTGGATAGATTGGTCGTCGTCGGCAGCGTGCCGGCGTTTCGAACGGCAGTAAGGTCGTGGACGGCCACCCTCCTTAAACGCGAGGGAAGCTAGCGCGTGAATGTGTTGGAAGCGGTGGCCGCGTATCCGTCGTCGTCGTCGTCGTCGTTGCTGCTGCTGCGATCGCCGTGAAAACGGTGCCGCACCGTGGAAGTCGTCGAAAACGCTACACCGATGGCCCTACGCGTCACGATACAACGGCGCGTATCGTGATCGCGGCACGACGGGAACGTCGAGGATGCCGCGGACATCGTTCTCTCCGCGCGGATGGATGGCGGGCTTCGTGATCGTCGTTCGGATCGATAGACAGGAAAAAAGGATCGAATAATAATCGCGACGACACGGCGCGGCGAGGTGAGAGGCGAGCAGAGAAGCCAGCCCCCCACCGCCCGGGAGGTTAGACCTCCGAGAGATACGAGGATCCTTGTTCGAAGATGAACTCCATGATATATACCCTCTACGGATTCGCGATATTTTTCATGGTATTCTGGTCAGCGATGTGGATCCTTCATGTGCTGGCATTGATAACCGGTCGCTGGAAGTTGCACCGTAAAGTAAACCAAGTACCAACCTACGAGACGCCGTTGCCCGGCGTGTCAATCATAAAGCCCTTGATGGGCGTAGATCCAAATCTGTTCAGCAATTTGGAGACGTTCTTCACCATGGAGTATCCTTGTTACGAACTGTTATTCTGCGTCGAAGACGACTCGGATCCTGTGTTGATGCTAGTGCGTAAACTGATCGAAAGGTATCCGCAAGTGGACTCGAGCCTGTTTATCGGCGGCCGTAACGTCGGCGTGAATCCGAAAATCAACAATATGCAGCCGGCGTACGAGGCGGCGAAACACGAGTTCGTGTTGATCAGTGACAGTGGTATCAAGATGAAGAAGGACACGCTGTTGGATATGGTCAATTACATGACGGACAATGTCGCGTTGGTGCATCAGATGCCGTTCACCTGCGACCGCGAAGGTTTCGCCGCCGTATACGAGAAAATATTCTTCGGCACGGTGCAGTCGCGGATATACCTCGCCGCCGATATACTACGAATAAACTGTCACACGGGGATGTCGGCGTTACTGAGGAAGGCGCCCCTCGACGAGGTCGGCGGATTGAAAACGTTCGGTGTGTATCTGGCGGAGGACTTTTTCTACGCGAAGGCGTTGGCCGACCGCGGCTGGCGCGTCACGGTGTCCTCGCAACCGGCATTGCAGAACAGTGGCCACTGTGAGCTGCATTCCTTCCACGCGAGGTTACGAAGGTGGGCGAAGCTCAGGGTGGCCATGCTGCCCACCATTATTGTTTTCGAACCGTTGACAGAGTGTTTAGTGTTGGGTGCCTGTGCTTCCTGGGCAGCGAGCGTACTATTCGAGTGGGACTCGCTTGTTTTTTATTTGGTACATATACTGTTGTGGTTCATGCTCGACTGGACGTTATTGTGCATCGTGCAAAACGGCCCGTTGCCGTTCAACAAATTAGAGTTCGTTTGTGGATGGTTGCTCAGCGAGATCACCAGGCCCTATCTTTTCCTCCAGGCGGTTCTAGATCCTCTGATACAGTGGCGATCGCGCGTTTATAAGCTCAGGTGGGGCGGCGTTGCGGAAGAGGTTAAGGCGAAAGTCAAATACTAAAGAGGACGACAAGATACACGTTCTCTTTTTTTCTTTTCTTCGTCTTGCTTTACTTTCATTCTCTTAGTTCAATTAACACATTGTGGACCATGCTTAAAATACTACAAAATATTGCTTGCGAATAGATGTTTAAGAGAAGCGTCGCGATCGACACCGGGAACGAAACTTCTTCTCATTGTCGGCATCTTCGATTTCTTAGTCCTATGGGAAGGGGGGAGGGGAGGGGAGGGGTACACTTGTCACTTTTGCTACTCGTCTTTTACTTAACGATGGAATTTCGGTGACGTCTGAAAGAATAAATACGTCAATTAATGTAGGCGGTCCACAATGCGTTAAAGTAAGGCCAATGTGACCAGATACATAGAAAACAAATTCCAGCGTGGGATAGCACGAATTGAAAACGTACCTCCTTTCCTCGTACGGAATCGTCCGTAACATTTTGTTTGTTTCTTTTTTTTTTTAACGAACTCATTCTACGAACATAAGGATGTTTCGCGAAGCTTAATAAAACATATTGTGACGTTAAATAAGATTGTTACTATTATAAAAGAAACGAAAAAAAATATTTATTTAATATTTATTAAATATAAACAAATGAAAAAGATAATAATAAAAACAATACAGTTGTCCCTCAAAGTACGCGGGGGTCCGGGACGTTGACGTATCGTGTAACTGAAAATCCGCATAATTATTTTAATTTTAATGTATCTATCATCGAAGGATTTATATCGTAAAAAAAAAATTGTAAAAAGTTGTCATTCACTGCGGCGGAAAGACCGCGACTTTGAAAACCGCGTACTTCGAGGGACAACTGTAATTGAAATTTATCTTGAAAATTTATCAGAATGGGGCGTATCATGCCACGTTCGGGACGTCTGGTCACGTTTGTTAATACGAACATTTTACCATATGCGCGGAACAGCGTATGGTATTTCTTTCTTTCCGTAATGTCCGATACATTATTCTATTACGCATACGCTACTTACTATATTTGCATTACGTTTGATCGACAAAAAATAAATACACGCCGTATACGCACGTCATAGACACCTGATAAAAGGATGTTGCGTGCGCGCATACAGCACGCGCACGCGTCTTACGTAAATACCATAACCGTCAGATATATACCCTCAGATACGCACGTATGGACACGATTTTCAATTATTTTACATATTTATCCACTGGTTGAAACGATTCCTAAAATAACTGTCTCAAATTATTATACATACATTGGTTCTGAATTAAAACAGTTATACAGTAACAGTAGCTGTTACAGATATATCTGTTCCGAAGAACCGTAATTGAAACCGAAATAAGCTAAAACCGATATAACTATAGCAGTTATAACATTTTTCCAATGTTCATAACTGTTTCGAGAACTAAAACCGATATTATATTTGCAACCTCGATATTTATTTCTGCTCCCTGATAGTAAGATCATTTTATCAGATTGATAACTATACAGTTCCGTATCATCGCACATAGATGAGATATTTAGATGAACTTGTTTTGGGTGGAACATCCAGTTCTTGCCATCTACTTTCTTCGTTTACTTCATACTTCTATTTACATTCCAAGAGGGTGGCCACGGATATATGTCATTATGTTTTGTTTTTACCGTCGTCACGTCCGATTCCTCGAAATCTTGTATCGGTATTCTGTCGTCTTCTGTCGCTCGTGAGATACGTTCCCGTCCATAAATCATCGGACGTTTAACGAACGTGAGATAAAAACGAACTAACACCGTGAAGCGATCTAAATTATAAAACGAAACCAACACTTATTTATTTATTGCTTTCAAAAGCAAATGCAACTCATATTTTATGTCATGGATTTCACCAAAATGTCGGCGGATAATTTAAAATTTTAATTACACTTCATACATAATACGGTTCCGTTCCGATCGTTCACAAAACCGTATGTCAAAAACGGCCGAACCGATAATTTTATCGTGTACACGCACATATAAAATGCCCGTGGTATGTATAATATTACGCAAGACGGCAAAACAATTGATTCAACAAACGACCGATTTGCCTTAGCGTGAATATAAAAGCTTGTGCACACCACGGTGAATCGATTAATTCATACGTTCGCGTTCGAGAGCTGAACGTGCCACGGAAATGCAAACATAACTGGGAATCGGTCAAAAAGTCGTATCGTGCGAATGTGTATCGTCGCACTTGTGCAATTTTACTTAATCTGTGACAGATGGATTACGTTAACCGATAACAAGGAATAATCGATATATCCGACCCTTCTTCGATGCATAGGAACTAGACGGACTTTTAAGTCCCTTATCGCAATACAAGCAACGCGAAATAATCGATGTGTTTTAATAAAACCATTCCCGCGAGAAAACACAACAACGGAGAAAGTTATCGCGATCGACTTAACGCCTTGTTGACGTAGTGTCGCATGAGTTTAGAATATTTGCATCTTTGTTATTTTTATCGTTGCAATAGATAGAAAAAGATTATTAGAATTCAAATGGTAGACGACGATAAGCTTGCCAGCAAAACGTAACGTTTGTCTCGTACGAACGTTTCTTCGCCGCGTCACAATCGCGCAACAGTCGAAAGGGTTTTATGATGTCCTCTAGCGTCGAACCTTCTCACTTTTTGTGTCTCACGGCGATAGAAACTGAATAGCTGTATTCTTAGTCGTTCAGACATTTCCCTTGGTGTTATTATGTCGTTGGTTTCTCCAGATAACCGAAATCTAATCACCCAGTAATCTGTAATCAAAGCGATAAATTAAAAAATTTCTGCAACTCTCTTTTGAACTCTCGTGTAAATATTATTCAAATTACGTTGTGTTTGGTCTCATTTTAATTAGGAAAGTGCCAGGAATATATTACAAAAATTTGTACGCAAAGGAAACAAAGAATACAAAGATTTTGCATTTTCCTTAGTATTTCACGTATATTCATGACCGGATCGTATTATGCTACTCGGTGTCCGACAACGTGCCTAATTTCAAGGCTGATTCCCCTAGTGGCGGGGATAAAATTTTCACGTATAATGTGATTAGCTTTTGCACATTTATTATAGTAGTTTAAGAGGGTATGGCGTTTATTAATACGTTAACTATTGCTGGAGTATGTGATACTTATTCGACGGCGGCTTCCATTAGATTCTCTTCCTCGCGCCAGCTGCGAACGAACTTCTCGTCGTTGTTACGTCGTGGAGGAATGGGAACTGGAACTCCTGTAGTTGATCAGGCTTCAAGATCGGTTTCGTTTTCTACATATATATGTATATGTGAGTTCTTTGACTGACTAATAGGTATTAAAATATCAGAGTGCGAAGTGCTACAAAACTGGAGGTGTACTGCGTGTTTTTGGACACGTTGGCCCGTCTTTACTCAGAGGGCAAGGTGACGAGACCATCTGCAGGATATCTCCGGGATTGAATTTTATATCTACGAACGGGGTGATCATCGTAACATCCTCGCGGCAAGTTCACAGGGCCTTACAATATAAACATCGAGACATGTTGACAATTCGGCCATTCTGACCGTTGATCGCCTCGATTAATCCATTGTATGCAAACACACGCAGTATTGCACGCAAATTAACGGTCAAAATGGCTGCGTCGAGCGTCAGTCCGATCGGCATTCGTCGCGACTCTTATTTCTGATACATGGAATTTAGGTTTTCCAATTTTAAATTTGGATTTCTTTGTAGTACTTGGTTTGGTGGACAACGAAGGCTATCGAATGTCGATAGGAGGCGTAAACATTTCAGAAATCAATGGTTGAGTTAATACTGGAGGAGTACCATACCAATTGATTCTAATTAGGATTGGTATTCTTCGATCTTGCTCCCTTCTTTTCTGATACAGTCTCAACAGTCTCGATAGTGTCCAAGCGAGAACTTGGGAGAACAAACTGAGTATTTTTAAATCTTGTCACCTTTTCGAAGAAGTAAGGGACAAATAATGTCTGTGATCACCGTTGGCTTCCCATCCAATTCTTTCTTACGGGATACATCTTTCACAATTTGTTGTAAGTTAACTATTATTTAATGTAACGACCTATCGAATAATCCTCTCCCTTGGTCGGATCATTGTCTTCTTACTCGAGTATGTGGAAAAATGTTTTCTAAATTTTTGAATTTGTCAAACTTCTAATGCTTTGAGGCGCTCTCACTTTGCCAGTCAGCCGTTATTGGCCGCCACCACGTGTATGTGATTTTACTGTTTCAGTCACGTGATTGAAAATATTTAATTTTGAATACATTTTCTATCGCAAACAAATTTTAAATTTCAACTTATTGTGTTCGTTCAGATTCGACCTTTATCTCGTATGCCTATCATGCTCAGTGTCATAATAATAGTCTTAACTTCCTCGTGTGCTTCACTACCAGTTGAGCTATGTGAATTAATAAAATTGATGTTTCCATGGTTGCTTAAAGATAACATTATGTAGAGCTAATATTTGAACATTCGTAAAATATTAATTTTAAAAATATCAGGTCAAAAATAGTTTAGGAAACTTTCATTAGGTTGAAATTGTCGTGAAAATTGCCGTGCGATCAAATTTATTTCTTTTTTAAAAGAGTTACAAAACAATTTAATTTAAAATGTATTTTCAGACCATTCTCTTTGTCTTTCTACGTAATTCGTGCTTTTGATGGTCGCTTTGAAGTTCGATCCGACAATCCTTGCTCTCAGCGTACCTCCAGCTTTTTTGTGCTCTTGCCAAAGGTCATGGTAGCAAGTTGCTACTGCATAGTGATCTTGGCCACTTGTACTTACAATTGTGCCGGTGATTATAAAAGTGTTTCAGGTCATATTTTCTTCGTTTCAAGGTATTTACACTTTTGCGTTTGGATCGATTGAAAAATATTTTCTCATTGTAACGTATAATCTTTCATTAAATATTTGTTCATGTAGGAAAAAACTTATCCATGATCGTGAAATCTTACGAAAATCTGATATGGAAAAATGTTTTTTTAGAACCTCGAATAACAGATTACAGTGAAAACTCGATAAATGTCCTCAAGAGCTGTTCCATAAATGATACATTTTTATCCCCACCACTAGGGGGATCCCCCTTGAACCAGTGAGGCGAAGTGTAACCGGAGACGTAGCGGCTTTCTTTAAAAATCTTTATTGCCTTCGTCACCTTAGTTTAAATGTCCCTGTCAGTGTGACCACACTACTGTACAAGAAGAAAGTTTTTTATTTTTTACTTTTTTTTAATAAAAATTTTACTATCATGTGGGGAAGATTTTTCTAATTAAAATGAGACTAAATACGATATAAATCGGCCAATATTTGTTACCATAATATTGAATTAAATATTGTGTACTCGTATCTTCGCAAGGTCAGTGGATTGGTACATTTATCGAACAGTGGTAGCTAACGAAACCCCCTATTTCATAAGTGTTGCAGTTTTTGATCACTTACGAAACGGTGGAACTGTTCCGTTTGAAAATAGCTACTTACCTCCCGTTCGATAAATGTAGCCAGCACCTCGATGCGTCGTTCTTTGATATTTCCGAACATAGAAAAGGACAGCACAAGAAGGATAAATAAAGAGAGAAAGACTCGCAAGTACAATATTTAATTCAATATTATGCTACCAAATATTGACCGATTTATATCGTGTTTAGCCTCATTTTAATCAGAGAAATCTCCCCAACATGATAGTGAAATTTTTATTAACAAAAAGTAAAA